CCCTGGGATAAATGAGTTTTGACAGGCCTGATTTAAACTATCCCTTGAGTTCCTGCCTTCTTACAGATACAAATACAATTATATGTGAGAAGTCAGGTTATCTCGTTATTTGCGCCTACTGAACAAGGACTTCCAGGTTAGCTTGTCCCTGACCCGCTGTGGTTTTGTTCTTTGCCGTTTTATTGGTGATATTAACACTTCACTAATTACTGGTTATATAGGAATGCTGTCAGATCCGTTACTGTGTTCCATGGTGATACGTTTTGGTACTAGGGCTGAGCAGAATAATGTTTTTTTATGTTTGTTTCTATTTCTTTCTTTCTTTTTTTCTTTCCTTACGCACATCTCCGTTCGCATTTCCATATTTATATCATCAACTTTCACAGCGATGCGTGATTATGGCCTTGAGATGTATTAATAGATATTAATAGATAACTGTGTTCCAACAAGTCAGGACGGTAGGTTAATGTACAAAACCCAAGTGACTCTTCATTAGGACTAGTTTTGTTTGTTTCGTGTGAGTCCTTTGCGCTCGTAAATAAAATGGATTAGGTTTCAGACATTCATTCGATCAGTCGCACTACTTTCATATTTTCGTATTAGAGTCGCGTCTGCATGTTCTGGATAAAATCATTTGATCTTCACGAACATACAAGTCACCCCAGAGATTGTGTGAGCGTCAATCACAAGGAAAGAGTGAAGTTAGCCTCCCCCATTCTCAAGATTTCATTTAGGTTCGTTCTCGTTTGTAAAATCGGATGATACGAACCACCGTCAATGAAGTTTACACAGTCTCAGACATGCTTGCGCTGGACCACACATCTGAATCATATCTCGGTTAACTTGTGTTTTGCAGCTAATCCAGGGTTAAGGACATGTGGATTACGCAGGGACACTTCTAGGTCAGGAAGCCTTGCAAAGTGTTGCTCTTGACGTGCAACAAACTGTCACGTTACCGCTTCACCCATTCGCGCATCGCATTTCAAGATATTTCATGGCGAGATC